TGTCCCGGGGGCCAGCGGTGAGAGCGGGAGCAGGCAGCGTGTCCCGGGGGCCAGCGGTGAGAGCGGAAGCAGGCAGCGTGTTCCGGGGGTCAGCAGGAGCGGATGGCTCTGAGGTGGTGAGTGTGGGAGCGGGCGGCCCCAAGGCAGCAGTGAGGGCGAAGTCAAGCCTTGTGAGGAATGCAAGCCCAAGACTGTGATGTTGAACTAGTAACCGTGTTTATTTGTCTACACTTCAGTAAGTAGGACTGTAATGTTTAACTTCTTGGCTTGCTTTCTTTGTTTTTCTGCTTCGTACTAAAATTCTGTGCCTAGGTACATTGTACTGAAGGTGGCGCCCTAAGTGGCAGCTTGTAAACTTTTCACTGTACTCATGTGAGTGAGTATATGTGACAATAAAAGCTAATTCTATTTCTTATTCTAGTTAGTTAGTTCATTAGTTCCTGGGGACATTAGCTCTCCTGAGTTGGCAGCTTAACCAATTTCACTACATTGAAAGTCTAGTGCAGATTAATTCCTCATGTAGAGGTGACTCTAAGCTCTGAATGTTGTCTGAAGGTTCTCAGCTGATGACTTTGATTTGCCACATCAGATATCCTTCACTTCCCAGGGAATCTGCTGGTTCAGTATTCGCATAATCAGGCCACTAGACCAGCACAAACCTAATTCTTCTTTCAGATTGATGAGCGGGAGAGAGCAAAGAGATAAAATAACAAGATCTGAATAATACTACTCCAGCTCAGGGAGAGATGTATTTATATAACTCTATTTTGCTGGGAATTTTTTCCAGATCGAAACTGGCTGTCATTCCTCAGGATCCGTTCCTGTTCAGCGGAACAGTGCGGGAGAATCTGGATCCTCTGAGCCACCACCCGGACAGGGAGCTGCAGTCTGTTTTAAAGGAGTGTCACCTCCTGGATGTCATTCAGAGAATGGGTGAGGCCTGTTGTGATCATGGGCAGTATGCTTTGTCAGTTGGTTCATTGTTTGTTTGTCTCTGTCACTGATCACTGTGCTATTTGTCTCTCCACATCAGGTGGATTGGATGCTGAACTCGGGGACAGGGGTAAGAATTTATCCATTGGACAGAGACAACTGATCTGCCTTGCGAGAGCACTTCTCACTAAGGCCAAGGTACTTATTCAGCAAGCTATCCTAGCATTAGGAATCATTTATACCTTCCCCTGTCTTCCCAGTCCCCGCTCCTTCACGGACCTACAAATGCAATATCTTGTTTTGCCTTCAAATGTATATGTCACTGCTATCCTTGCCAGATTAATAACCAACCCGAGCACAACGTAACAGCTCAGGATCCTGAGTGCTGGCATTTTGGGGGCACAATAGTTAACGTCATTCTATACATACATTAAAAACAAGAGGATAACTAGGGAGAGGATAGGACCACTCATGGATAAAGAAGGGAACTTGTGCTTGGAGGCAGAGGATGTGGGTGAGATCCTAAATAAGTACTTTGCGTCAGTATTCACCCAGGAGAAGGATATGGACGATAGTGAGATTTGTGTGGAGCATGCTAATATGGTGGGGCATTTTGAGATCAAGAAAGAAGTGGTGTTGGGCGTCTTGAAGAGAATTAAAGTGGATAGGTCTCCAGGACTTGATAGAGAGGCAAGAGAGGAGATTGCTGGACTTTGACCAAAATCTTCATATCCTCGCTAGCCACTGGAGAGGTCCTGGAGGACTGATGAGTAGTTAATGTTGTTCCTCTGTTCAAGAAGGGAAATAGGGATAATCCAGAAAACTATAGACCAGTGAGTCTCACATTTGTAGTTGGGAAGCTATTGGAGAGAATTCTTAGGGATAGGATTTACACATCTTTGGAAAAGCATGGCTTTGTGCAGGGCAGATCATGTCTTACTAACTGGATTGAATTTTTTGAGGAGGTGACAAAGGTGATCAATGAGGGTAGACCGTGGATGTTGTTTACATGGATTTTAGTAAGGCTTTTGACAAGGTCCCTCATGGTAGGCTCATCCAGAAGATTAAGGTGCATGGGATCCATGGTGACTTGGTTAGTGGATTCAGAATTGGCTTGCTCATAGAAGGCAGAGGGTAGTGTTGGAAAGTTGTTTTATAGGCTGGAGGTCTGTGCCTAGTGGTGTTCCACAGGGATCAGTACTGGGACCTCTGCTGTTTGTGATATATGTAAGTGACTTGGATGAAAATGTAGATGGGTGGGTTAGTAAGTCTGCGGATGATACAAAGATTGTTGGTGTTGTGGATAATCTGGAAGATTGTCAAAGGATTCAGCGGGATGTCGATCAGTTGCAGATGTGGGCGGAGAAATTGCAGATGGAATTTAAACGGGGTAAGTGTGAGGTGCTGTGCTTTGGGAGATCAAATGTTAAGGAAAAGCGTGCAGTTCATGGCAGGACTCTGAACAGCATTGGTGCACAGAGGGATCTTGGAGTTCAAGTCCATAGCTCCCTGAAAGTAGCCACATAACTAGATAAGGTGGTAGAGAAGGTGTATGGCATGTTTGCCTTTATTGGTCAGGGAATTGAGTACAAGAGTCAGGATGTCATGTTGCAGCTTTATAAGACTTTGGTTAGGTCACATTTAGAGTATTGTGTTCAATTGTGGTCGCCACATTACAAGAAGGAAGTGGAGGCTTTGGAGAAGGTGCAGAAAAGGTTTACCAGGATGCTCCTGGATTGGAGGGTATGAGCTATAAGGAGAGACTAGAAACACTTGGGTTGTTTTCTCTGGAGCAGCAGAGGCTGAAGGGAGACTTGATAGAAGTCTATAAAATTATGAGATGCATTGATAGAGTTGAAGGTAAGAATCTATTTCCCAGAGTTGAAATATCTAAAACTAGGTGGCATGCATTTAAGGTGAGAGGGTGAAAGTTCAAAGGAGTTGTGAGGGGCAGGTTTTTTACACAGAGAGTGGTGGTGCCAGGGGTGGTAGTGGAGGCAAATATGATAGGGGCATTTAAGGGGCCTTTAGATGAGCACATGAATATGCAAGGAATGGAGAGATATGGACCAAGGGCAGGCAGAAGTATTAGTTTAATTTGGCTTCATGTTTGGGACAACATCGTGGACCGAAGGGCCTGTTCCTGTGCTGTATTGTTCTGTGTTTTTTGTCATCGGACTGTGATGGTGTTGAGAGGTAGTGCAACAAGACAGAATGTCACCATGTTGCCAAGAATTAGTGCCATTGTGGTTAACCCCTGTTATGACCCAGAGACAAATCAAATGAGCCAGGAAAGTTGACGTTTCAGGTCGGGACCCTTCTCTGATGCTGCCTGGCCCGCTGTGCTCCTCCAGCTCCACACTGTGTTATCTCTGACTCCAGTATCGGCAGTTCTTACTATCTCAAATGAGCTATCTGTATTTGCAACACAGGCAATTAAAGTCTTTAAACAGTGTCAAAACTGACCCCAGTGGGGACCCCAATGGTCCCTAACCAGATGTTTTGAATAACAAGTACCAGACTTTGTGAATAACTGATACCAAATACCCGGATTGTAATGTAAACAAAAGATTTAACAATTTGTTGATAAAATAGTAGCTTTAGCTGAGCAAAGTTAAACCACAAGGTAATCTAATTAATGTTTATAATTTAAATACAATCTATATTGACTCTAGCCCCCACTCTCACACAAAAGCTGACAGAGAAACAGACACAGTTAATCAAAAAGAAAATAAATAAACAGGATCGAACTGGCCAGTTCACTGAAGCAGAGTCCAGACTCTGTAACCTCACAGGCACATGGGATTATATCTCATTTGGTTTCCGAAGACACCAATGCACACAACTACCTTCTAGCAGGCTCTGAGGAATGTTCATTTTATACTTAGAACTGACATTTTATTCCCTGAACTTTCAATAAGCTGATAATGGGAGGACAACCAGGGAGTAATCAAACTTCCATTCTGTAGCTTTCACCGGCACAATCGTTCTGACGCAAACACAGTCCATAAATCAATTCAAATTCTGGCCTCTCCATACCAGACTGGCTGTTTCCCCACAAGGTCCCAGTTAACACTCAACATCTGTCATCTGCCTCTGGAGCCGAAACATCCATAAAGCACTTTGCATAAGAATCAACCTCAACCTGCAACTAACTTCAATACCTGTCCTCAAAAATAAACTGGCATTTTTTAAATGAGAAGAAGCCAATATTCACAGTCTAAAAGGTCACCTTCAGCTCACAGCTCCAAACCATACATAATGTAAAACAAAAATAAGGAGAATTCTGCAAGGGTTCTAACACCCATCCACAGCATTGAGAATGAACAGCATAACACAGAATTCCAGTATACTGCACAATTAATGCCATAATACTGATCCATGTGAACAAGAAGCAGCAGTAAGCCATTCTGCTACTAATGTCTGCTCTGTCATTTTAGAAGATCATTGTTGATCTGAGTGTAAACTGAAACTCACATTCCAAGCTGCCCCTTCCCTGACCCCTCCAGTAACCTTTCACTCCCCTTGCTTTACAAGAATCTATCCACCTCTGCTTGAAAGCATTCATAGGTTCTGATTCCTTTTCAAGAAGATATTTCCAAAGGCTCTGAACCCTCTGAGAGAAATAAATTCACCTCATCTCTGTTTTCAAAAGGTGACCCCATGATTTTTAAACATTGACCCCTGGTTTGTGATTCTCCCATAAAAGGAAACATTCCTTCCCCACCTCTCCTCTATCAACGTCCTTTAGCGTTTTATATGTTTCAATCAAATTGCCTCTTATTCTTCGAAACTGCAGAAGATACCCCTCACAGTAGGGAGAGTTAGTGTTCTAACCTCACCATCATACCTAGAGTCAGTTCATTATCCCAGACTCCAGGAGGCAGTGCCATAATATGGAACTCGAACAAAGTACAGAGGTTTAGTGCCATGAAACTGGACTCCCACAGATTGTGAAGAGTAATTGCCATAAAGCTGAATCCACCATGGTACTGAGAATAAATACCATGCTATTGAACCTTACTGTGAAACCAATTATGTTGTCTAGTCCCAATATAGCCAGCAGCAGCAGTCAGCACACAGATTACCACAAGCACCAGAGTGCAGAAAACACCTGCGCATTTACCTCCTCCCTCCCCAGAATCCAAGGGCCCAAACATACCTTCCAGGTGAAGCAACACTTCACCTGCACTTCCAAGAATCTAGTCTACTGCATTCGCTGCTCACAGTGTGGTCTCCTGTACATTGGGGAAACGAAGCGTAGACTTGATGACTGCTTCGCAGAACATCTACGTTCTGCTCGCAAAAAAGACCCTGAACTACCTGTTGCCTGCCACTTCAATGCACCACCCTGCTCCCTGGCCAACATCTCTGTCTCCGGCTTGCTACAGTGTTCCAGTGAAGCCCAGCGCAAGCTGGAGGAACAACACCTCATTTTCCGCTTGGGGACCCTACAGCCCTCCGGACTCCATATTGAGTTCAATAATTTTAGGGCCTAAACTCTCCCATGTCCCAGCCCCCCACCCCACACACCAGGCCTTGTTACCACATAGCCTGCCACTACACACCCTCTGTTGTTAGTCACTAACAGTCCCCATTAACAACTATTCACCCTCCCAGCCTGATCATTAGCAACTCCTTTGTCTGTCCAACTGTCTTTCTCTCTCTTTGGGCTCTATCCTATTGTTTACTCCCTACCTCCCTATTTTCTGCATATAAACTGACGTTTTCCCAGCCACCATCAGTTCTGAGGAAAGGTCACTGATCCGAAACGTTAACTCTGTTTTCTCCTCCACAGATGCTGCCAGACCTGCTGAGCTTTTCCAGCAACTTTGTTTTTGTTCCCAATCTACCAATGACAGCTCCATTTGTCCATAACAATATTCTGATGAATATTCCACACAGTGTCCTCGTGTAGACAAATCTTCATTTTCGCATAAAGGATACCATCCAAGATATGATGCGGTACGGCTGCTGTAGTTCAATGTATCTGAAAAACCAACAGATTGCAGACTGCAGAGATAGTAGGAACTGCAGATGCTGGAGAACCTGAGATAACAAGGTATAGAGCTGGATGAACACAGCAGGCCAAGCAGCATCAGAGGAGCAGGAAAGCTGACGTTTCGGGCCTAGACCCTTCTTCAGAAATGGGGGAGGGGAAGGGGATTCTGAAATAAATTGGGAGAGAGGGAGAGGCGGATAGAAGTGGATAAAGGAGAAGATAGGTGGAGATGAGACAGACAGGTCAAAGAGGCGGGGGTGGAGCCAGTAAAGGTGAGTGTAGGTGGGGAGTTAGGGAGGGGATAGGTCAGTCCAAGGAGGATGGACAGGTCAAGGGGGTGGGATGAGGCTAGTAGGTAGGAGATGGGGGTGGGGCTTGAGGTGGGAGGAGGGGATAGGTGGGATGAAGGACAGGTTAGGGAGGTGGACACAAGCTGTGCTGGTTTTGGGATGCGGTTGGGGGAGGGGAGATTTTGAAGCTTGTGAAGTCTGCATTGATACCATTGGGCTGCAGGGTTTCCAAGCAAAATATGAGGTGCTGTTCCTGCAACCTTTGGGTGGCATCATTGTGGCACTGCAGGAGGCCCAGGATGGACATGTCGTTTAAGGAATGGGAGGGGGAGTTGAAATGGTTTGCGACTGGGAGGTGCAGTTGTTTGTTGCGAACTGAGCGTAGGTGTTCTGCAAAGCGGTCCCCAAACCTCCGCTTGGTTTTCCTGATGTAGAGGAGGCCACATCTGGAACAGCGGATACAGTATACCACATTAGCAGATGTGCAGGTGAACATCTGCTTGATGTGTGGGATGGGGGTGAGGGGGGAGGTGTAGGGGCAGGTGTAGCACTTGCTGCGGTTGCAGGGAAAAGTGCCGGGTGTGGTGGGGCTGGAGGGGAGTGTGGAGCGGACAAGGGAGTCATGGAGAGAGTGGTCCCTCCGTAAAGCAGATAAGGGTGGGGAGGGAAAAATGTCTTTGGTGGTGGGGTCGGATTGCAGATAGCGGAAGTGTCAGAGGATGATGCGTTGGATCCGGAGGTTGGTGGGGTGGTACGTGAGGACAAGGGGGATTCCTCGTTTTTCAAGGATCGCAACTTCCCCCCCTCATTGGTCGAGAACGCCCTCGACCGTGTCTCCTGCATTTCCTGCAACTCATCCCTCACACCCCCTCCCCACAATCACAACCAAAACAGAATCCCCCTCAACCTCACGTACCACAGAAGAAGGGTCTAGGCCTGAAACGTCAGCTTTCCTGCTCCTCTGATGCTGCTTGGCCTGCTGTGTTCATCCAGCTCTACACCTTGTTATCTCAGATTCTCCGGCATCTGCAGTTCCTACAATCTCTGAAACAAAGGTAGGCAGTTGGGTTTTTTGGAGGTCTTTCACTTCAGCTCCAGGACATCTCTGCAGGAGTTCCTCAGGGTAGTGTCCGAGGCCCAGCCATCTTCATCTGCTTCATCAATGACCTTCCCTCCTCCATAAGATTAGAAATGGGGATGTTTACCGATGATTGCACAATATTCAGCACCATTTGTGACTCCTCAGATACTGAAGCAGTCCGTGTCCAAGTGAAACAAAATCTGGACAACATTCAGGTATGGCTGATAAGTGCCAAGAGATATTCATGCTGCAACACCAGGCAATGACCATCTCCAACAATAAAACATCTCACCGTGACTTTCAATACATTAACATTACGAGTCCCCCACAGTCAACATGCGGGGGTTACCATTGACCAGAAACTGAATGAGACATGCCATTTTAACATTTGTGGCTACAAGAGCAGAGGCTGAATAAAACAATCCACGTCCTGATTCCCCAACGCTAGTCCACCATCTACAAGGCACAAGTCAGGATTGTGATGGAATACTCCCCTGCCTGTATGAGTGCAGCTCCAACAATACTCAGGAAGCTTGACACCGTTCATTCCACTTTATTGACATCCTTCTACATTCATGCTTTCCATCAACAATAGTAGCAGTGTGTGCCATTTACAAGCTGTGACAACTCCCCAAGGCTTCTTAGTCAGCACCTTCCAAACCCACAACCACTTCCATCTGGAAGTCAGAAGTGACACGACACCAGGTTATAGTCCAACAGGTTTATTTGAAATCACAAACTTTCGGAGCATAGCCCCTTCAGCAGGTTTAGACTTCACCTGACGAAGGGGCTATGCTCCGAAAGCTTGCAATTTAAAAACAACACTGTTGGACTATAACCTGGTGTCGTGTCACTTCTGACTTTGTCCATCTCAATCCAACACTGGCACCTCCACATCATGTCCATCTAGAAGGACCAGGGCAGTGGATACATGGGAACACCACCACCTGCAAGCTCCCCTCCAAAGCACTCACCATTCTGACTTGGAAATATATTGCTGTTCCTTCACTGTTGCTGGGTCAGAATCCTGGAATCGCCTTCTTTACAGCATTGTGAGTGCCTGTACACTAAAGTACTTCTGTGGTTCAAGAAGGCAGCTCATCACTATCTTTAGGGTTGGACAATAAATGCTGGCCCAGCCAGTGATGCCCATGTCCCCAGAATGAGCGAAAGAAATGTCCTTGAGAGAAGGAAATCTGCCATCCCTGTCTGGACTGGCCAACATGTCACTTCAGACCCACAGCAATGTGGTTGACTCTGAACGACCACCCAAATCCCAAGGAACTTAAGAAAGAGTTGATTGTGCTGCACGTAGCAAGGCTCCGATCTGATCGCCTGTAAAGGAAGGCATGGTATAGGATGACATGATAAAGGTGCACGTGTGGGACTAGGTGAGTTGTTTTTAGAAAAGATGCATGGACAAATCTGGATGAATGGCCTTGTTCTGTGCTATTCGCTATTCAAAGAGTGCCTTTGTTATTGTAAGCCACCTTTATCACCTCTGAATAAATTTTATCGCATCAGTTTTTGTACTTTGTATTCATTTTGAGTTTCAGTATCATCTTAGGGACATGAGTTCCAACTTTCCACTGTGATTTCTGTCAAACTATTCTTGCTGATAAAAACCCCTGCACCTGGCATGACTCTGATTTTAAATGTATGTTTACTTGTTCTTGCTTTTCCACATGTGAGGGCAAGAACCTGTCAACTCCTTCAATCATCTTAATCTTCTTGATTGTTCTCGAAAGTCCCTCGAAACAAGGAGCATGCTGACCACAGAGCCCATCGATGGAGTTATTTAATGCTGCACTGTAGCTATTATTCTGTTGTGGCTGAGCAGACTCACCCCCTCTTACCACTTGCCCTGGGCCAATCAGAAAGATTTTGAGGTTGATAGTCAGCCAGTTGGTCACATCATGAACACACTGTCTGTGGCCATCAAATTGCAAGTTGGCCTTGAACAGTCAGACACTGTCACATGACATGCTGTACCATGAGGCCTCTATCACCAGCTCAATTTGATCGGCTGTTAACGACATCGATGTGATGTGTTCTCATCCTTGAACCTTCTTGTACCCAATGTTATTGTGGGGAATGTACACTATACTCTGCCTGAGGTCCTGATAGCTTTGTTTTTCATTTGCTCAGATTCTGTGTATTGATGAAGCGACAGCCAGTGTGGACCAGAAAACAGATCGACTGTTGCAGAAGACTATACGAGAACAATTTGCAGACAAAACTGTTTTGACAATTGCCCATAGGTAACTTCTTCACACCGGTAGGAAGAGATTGGCAGAAAGGGTGGGAGATTAGGTTAGACGGTGAGAGAGTAAAGGATGGACATGTGTTTGAGGTGATGAGTAGCAGGGCAAACAGTGAGGGGGGGGAGTGGGGAGGGGAGGAAGAGGAGTTGGGAGGGGCAGGAGGAGGGAGTGGGAGGATTGGGGATGATTGGGGGAACACTAGTTGGGAGGGGGAGTGGAGAGGATTGGGGAGGGGGAGGAATGGGAAGGGGGGGAGTGGGGAGTAGGTAGGAGGGAAAGGGGGGAGAGGGGGGGGGGGGGAGGAGTGGAGATTTGGATGGAGGGGGCATGGTGAGGGAGAAGAATAGGGAGGGGAGGGCAGACACGAAGTAGGAGCTATGAGGTTGTGGTGTGAGGGGAGCACGATGGCAGAGCAGTTTCTGCAGCACGTGCTGGTGTCTGAGGCTCCCTCGCTCAGAGCAGAGCCAGGATCACAGGTGGAATTGCCCAGCCATGGACATTTTCTTTACCAAGCACCAAACAACTGAATACCAAACAAACCTTGGGCTCAGTAAGGGTGGCATGGTAGCTCAGTGGTTAGCACTGCTGCCTCAGCACCAGGGGACCTGGGGTTGATTCCAGCCTCAGGCAACTGTCTGTGTGGAGTTTACATATTCTCCGTGGGTTTTCTGCTGGTGCTCCGGTTACCTCCCACAGTCCAAAGATGTGCAGGTTAGTTGGATTGGCCATGCTAACTTACCCGTAGTGTCCAGGAAAGTGCAGGGTTAGTGGGGTAGCCATGGGACATGTGGGGTTATGGGTACAGTGTGGGGACAGGTGGTTCTGGGTGGGATGTCTTTGGATGGTCAGTGCAGACTCAATGGGCCGAATGGCCTAAACCTGCACTGTCGGGATTCTATGACACAATTCACTGATTAAACTGATAGGAGAGATGGGCAGCTTTGGCATTCAGTCACGCTGTAGCGACATGTCCCAGCTGCATTCCTACTGAGGCTGGAAGGGTTTTATTTCAGTGGGGTCCCCATTTTTATGCTGCCTTTGATTCTGTTTCCTGAAGGTTGAACACAATAATGGATTCAAACCGTGTACTGGTGTTGGATGCTGGCAAGGTGAAGGAGTTTGACTCCCCAGCCGTTCTATCTCAGAACCACGATTCCTTCTTCTACAATATCTTACATGCTCCAAGATAGTCGAGGGAAGATGGCAGACCCAAGCAGATATCTTGCCAGTGAACTGAAGCTCTGGGCAGTTTGCGTATGCTGAACACTTAACTGTACAGAACAGAGAGTTTGGGATCCAGAAAGCTCTCGGTACCTTACATATTTGGAACGGAACAAGGAAATTGAAATGTCACAATTTCAGGATAGTTAATGTTAAGAACCGTGGGATTCTCGGTTAGTTGGCTTGGTTAGGGTAGATCTGTGTTTCTTACCTCATGTCTATAATTCTGCATCCTGTACTAAGTGTAATGAGCGCAATTCTAGCCTCTTCAACACCAATCGTCCTGCTTCATTCACTCAACCACTGTCTCACACTCTGATACCTACAGTTTAATATTCGCCCTCAGTCCCTGTCCTATTCCCCAATGTTCTGTACAGTTTAATATTTCCTCTTGGCCCCTGCCCCATTCCCCACTGTTCTGTACGGTTTAATATTCCTTCTCAGTCCCTGTCCCATTCCCATTCCCCACTGTTCTGTACAGTTTA